GGGTTCAAGTGATTCTCCTGCCTCAGCCTCCTGAGTAGCTGGGACTATAGGTGCGTGCCACCATGCTTGGCTAATTTTTGTATTTTTAGTAGAGATGGGGTTTCACCATGTTGGCCAGGCTGGTCTCCATGTCTTGACCTTGTGATCCGCTCGCCTCAGCCTCCCAAAGTGTTGAAATTACAGGTGTAAGCCTCCGCGCCCAGCTTCTCTTAACTCTTACATGCTGCCCCCATACAAATCTTCTCATCCATGATAGGATGCACTTTTGTGCTTGTTTGCTTATGGACCCACCACGTCACTAGAATGTAAGCTCCATGAGGGCAAGGATTCCTGATGCTTGGGTTCACCGAGGTCCCCCTAGCAACTGGAACAACCTGTGTCACATGGTGAACACTCACTCTGAGACACGAGTCAATGCTGAGTGTGTGTGGCGGGGGGCAGAAAGCAGGGGGAGTTTGTGAGCAGAAAAACAGCCAAGTGCAAGCTCAGGAAGTTAAAGAAAGCTGTGGAGGCCGAGCATGGTGGCTCACGCCAGTAATCGTAACACTCTGGGAGGCCAAGATGAGAGGATCGCTTGGGCCCAGGAATTCGAGACCAGGCTGGGCAACAAAGCAAGACCCCACCTCTACAAAAAATAAAAAATGAGCTGGTGTGGCAGCATGTACCTGTGGTCCCAGCTGTCCTGGAGGCTGAGGCAGGAGGATTGTTTGAGCCCAGGAGTTTGAGACCTGCCTGGGCAACAAAAGGAGACCCGCCCCTGCCCTCATCTCTAATGAAAACATGAAAAATGTCGGGCGTGGTGGCTCACGCCTGTAATTCCAACACCTTGGGCAAGGTCAGGAGATAGAGAACACCCTGGCTAACATGGTGAAACCCTATGTCTACTAAAAATACAAAAAATTAGCCGGGCATGGTGACACATGCCTGTAGTCCCAGCTACCTGAAAGACTGAGGCAGGAGAATTGCTGGAACCCAGGAGGCGGAGGTTGCAGTGAGCTGAGATTGCACCGCTGCACTCCAGCCTGGGTGGCAGAGTGCGACTCCGTCTCAAAAAAAAAAAAAAGAAAAAGTTAAAAATAAATTAACTAGGTGTAGTCCACACACCTGTATTCCCAGTTACTTGGGAGGGTAAGGTGGGAGGATTGCTTAAGCCCAGAAGTTCTAGGCTGCAGTGAGCTGAGATCACACCTCTGTACTCCACACCTCTGTACTCCCTCCTAGGTGATAGAGTGAGACCCTGTCTCAAAACAAACAAAACAACAACAAAAAAAAAAGAAAGCAAGCTATGGGATCCAATCTGAGAGAATCGAGTGTGTGTGTTTGTGCGTAAGAGAGGGAGGGGAAGGAGGCCTCTTAAGCCTTCTTAATCCTGAAAATGGGAAGGAGGTCGTTTAAGCTTCAGTGCCAGAGTGACATGACCTAGTTTTCTATTTTTAGAGATGGGGTCTGGCTATGTTGCCCAGGTTGGTCTTGAATTCCTGGGCTCAAGCCAGCCTCCTGAGTTGCTGGGACTACAGACATGGGCCACCCCACCTGGCTTGACCTGGTTTTTGTGTTCAGAAGATATATGTTGTTGTTCCAGGTGCCAAGGCCAGTGCTGGGCACAGGGGTGGTGGAGCCTACTGAGAAATGGACACTGAACCCCAGTGTCTATCCTTCCATCTTGGAGCCTGTGCTTCCCACCCCACACAGCCCTGCTGTCTGGGAGGACCATCTGCCCCTTGAGGTCACCTGCCCCTGGCCTTTGTGCCAGGACAGGCCTGCTGTGGGTGCAAGCCTCGGGGCAAGAAAGAACACATCTGGGAGCTGGAAGGCCCAATCCCAGGGAAAGCATGGAGCCTGGGGCAGGGCAGCAAGGAGTCTTCCAGCCCCCACCTTCTAAGGAAAGAAATGCCAGGCAGGTATGGCCTTAGGTAGGCCCCTTTTCCTTTTCGGATCACTGCCTGCCTGCCTGTCACTAATTTCTGTCCTGGCCCCACACTAATAGCTGCCATATATATATATATATATATACACATATATATAGTTTAAGAGATGGAGTCTCCCTAAGTCACCCAGGCTGGCTTTGAACTTCTGGGCTCAAGCGATCCTCCTGCCTTGGCCTCCCAAAGTGCTGGGATTACAGGTGTGATCCGTCATGCCTGGCAGCTACCATTTTTTAGCTTTAATGTGCACCAGCTCTGTAATCAAGTGCATCCTATATGTTCCTGCTAATTAACTCAACAGTCCTACAATGGTGGTTATTAATTGCTCTGTTTTACAAAAGAGGAAACTGGGGCTCTGAGAGGTTAGGGACCGACCCAAAGCCTTCAGTGCCCGTGGATACAACTGGGATGCAGGGAGCCAGTGGGCTGGGGGTGAGGTGACCCGGCAGGTGGAGGTGGTGGGGTACTTACCTCCATGATGGCTGCTGCTGGTTGGCTGCTCCTGCTGGTGACTGGCGTCCCACAGGAGGCCTGGGGCCTGGCGATGATGCTTGCCGCAGTCTGAGGGCCTGTCCCCCGCGAGGCTGGGGCCCAGGCCCCTCTCTGCAGAGCTGGAGTCTTCCTGCTCACTAGGCTCAAACTCTGGGATCTGGAACATGCTCTGGGCTATGAGGACAAGATGTTAGGTAGTCAAGGCACAGCTGGGGCCAACGGTGGCCCTGGAAGGCAGAGGCAGGTACCCTTGGCTCCCTCTCCCACCCTAGGGCCCCCAGGCCCGCCAGGCCTCCCGGGCCCTCATTTGTCTGCTGGGTCTGGCCTGGCAGGGAGCTGATGCTGTCGGCTCAGGGCCTCAATCTCCCCTCAGAACCCTGGTGGACCCAGGCCCCTACCCAGGACCCGCCCCGCCCGTGGTGACGGCGCACAGGTCTCACCCCAAGCCCGATCTCGAGGCCCCTGACCCGGGCCTGCCGCCTCCCTCCTGCACCCCGGGCTCCCGGCCCTAGTTGCTTGGGCAACGGGAACTGTCAGCGACCTGGCCCAATCACCTCTCGGAACGTCACTCGGGTAGGTCCAGAGGCGGGGTCAACCCGGCCCGGCCCCGCCCCCCCGCCGGACCTACGGCTACTCGCCCGCAGTCTTTTTTCTCCCTCCTGCGGCCCTGGTGCTCACATCCTCGCTGCCTCACACCTTGGACGTGTGTGGGAGCAGGAGAGGGATTCTCTGGGGTCCCCATTTGGAACCTGGAGACCCACTTCTGCTAACAAGTCCTTCAGCCCCTCTGGACCTTAGTTTCCCCCCAGCGAAGTGGGGATAGTGACAGCTCCCCCAGGAGCCAGTGAAAACTTTGTGAAGGGAGTGATTACTGCGGGCGAAGGCGCTTGGCACAGCCACAATTGAAGCTCAGCCGTCGGATGCGATTATTGTTGCTATTGTTACCGCTCCGCCTGGACTGGGTGCCCGGTCGGAAAGTCCCGCTCCCCGCTCCTCCTCCCAGGCGTGGAAGCTTCGCGCCGCCCGCCTCGGGGGACACCTCCCGCGCCACCTCGGGGGCACTGGAGATAAGGAGAGGAACCTCCTCCCTGGCTGGGATGGCTGCCCGGGCGCGGGAGGAGGGCCGGGGACCCGGTGAGGGTGGACC